CCCTGCTCTACTTTCCAACTTTCCAGCTAACATCTGTGCAGTCTGTGCATATTTGCCGAAGGACAGACGGTCATGACAAACGGTGGCATCATCCCAGGTCACGTCTCTCTGTTACTTCTCCAGCTTAAGTAAATAGGTCAAGTAATCTTTTCAGCTCATTCTTACAATGGGCTTTTCCTTCTTTTTGGAGCACTTTTTGGGGCTTGGAAGTAGGATATTATAGATGAAGAGTCTATAAAAATAATTTTTAAAATGGCTATGTGAAAGGAAAAGCCACCTAAGGCCCAGTTTCTCATTAACTGCATGAACCTATTTCCTTGTCTTACATTTGAACATTAATGCTCCTACCCTGCCAGATATCAAAATCACTACTCATGTCAAGATTGTCTAAAGGTTCAACCCTATGCATGTTTAGACAGAAAAAAGGCCTAAAATCCATGAAGGAGAAAATGCCCAGCATACTTATTATTTAAATCACAAGATTTGTACTCCTTCCTACTGGTGCTTCCTAAGGTGCCGTTCAGGGTTACAGAAAAACAGAGGGGAAAGTTACAGTTTCTTAGCTCCCGCTCCAAAAAAAAAAAAAAAAAAAAAACCCTGCTCAGAAGTGTGTGTGGAGGGGAGAAAGTTGGAAAGGGTACAAAGTGGGAACGTGGCATGTACACTGTTTTAATCCACACAAGTATCCATGCCGCCTGGAACCTTTGTAATCCACTGCTAATTATGTTTTTTCCATTTTTCTTTTTCCTTTTTTAAGGCAGAAAACATGTTTTGTGCCAGAACCCTTAGGGTCTTCTGATCCTCAGGCAATCTGGGTTCTAGTCTGCACTCAGCCTTGGAGCCAAGTGGGTGACTTTGGGCCTGCCACAGGCTCTCAGCCCAGCCTACCTCACAGGGTTGTTGCTGTTGTTATTGAGGGGATAAAATTAAGTGCAGAAGGAAGAGAATGATGTAAGCCACTTTGAGTTATTCACAAGAAAAGAGCAGGGGGATATAAATCTAATAAATAAATAAGCGTGGATAACACACAAACACTTTTTTAGAAAGTCAAGTCATGGCCTGAACTAAATGGATTGCTCAGCAGGCACCTCTGTGCTCCTGCATTGTTCCCTGGAATACCTCAGGAAGGCTGTGGGGAGAGGAAGGGAGAAAAGGGAGGATCATCTGCCCAGCACAGAGGAATTTTAACTACAGTTTTGCTAAAACTTCCAAGGCAGTTAACGTTTTCTGTGAAAGTTAAGACTTCCACAGAGTACAACTCCCAGCATCCCTTCGCTGAGCCTGCATGTGAGATACAATAACTTTGATAGAAGGCGTCCCACTGTCAGTATGTTTACGGTTACAACCCTGATGTGCTGTTTCTGTTTTTTATCTGCTGATTTACTAGATGAGCATGTGCTTTACTTAGCAGTTTCATTGTTTGTTCCAGTAGTTCAAAAGTCCTTCCTAAACCTCCAAGCCTCTTCACCACTTGAAACACAGGACTCTTATATATAATGCAGAGGGCAGACTTGTACAAACTGGTGCACAGACATATTTTTGCTGTACTGCATACCCTACATCTAGATATAAATAAGAGAGCAAGATTGCGGCAGCTCTCATATTATGTTTCAGTGTGATCCCAATGTTGCTGCCTGCAACCCTCCAAGTGTGGAGAATTGTGGGCACTGACTAGCGTGCAGAAGGAGTGCAGAAACAAGGATTGCCTCACTGTACCTCCCACCCTCCGGAACACTTAGACTGCCAGTTTCACCCATCCAAGGGTTTTGTGCCTGCTCATGAAGAGAGGACCAGGCGCTGTTGGGATATATTATATGCAGGCAGAGCCACAGTCCTCCCCTCCCTGCCCTGAAGAACATCCTCCTGCCATGCCAGCTCTGAGGTTGGTCTTATGCACTTGAAGCCACAGCCAGCGTGCAAAGAACTGCACCACCTGCAAAAGCAGAGGCAGGACACTCCAAGGTTGGCGTTTCAGCTCTGACCTTGGAATGTATTTCTGAGGTCTGAGCTGCAACTCTGAGCTTTCCTATGGCCATCTAGGCAGCACGTCAGGGCCTTAATGAGTTATCCATGGGGAGACCCTCGAAAATGGTTCAGAAGCTTCTACAGTGGTACCTCGGCTCACGAACACCTCAGTTCATGACCAAATTGGGTCCCGAACAAAAATTTCATAAATATTTTGACTCAGGTTGTGAACTCTGCACTGGGTGGCGGCCGCGATCATGCTGGGGGTGGGAGGGGGATGGCCAAGATGGCGCCCGTCTTTCCTGCACCAGCGCAACTGCGATCTCGGCCATCTTCACCCCCCCAGCATGATCGCACCCATCGCCCCCCAGCATGCCCGCGTTTGCTCCTGTCTCTCCCCCCCCCCAGCACGTGGGGGTGACAGGCACTTGCAGGGATGATGGGCATGATCGCAGTTGTGCTAAGGGGGGGAGATGGCTGCAATCTTTGTTGTTCTTTGTCACTTTGCTTCATGTTTTTCTGATTGGAAAAAAAAATATTTACAGAACAGATTAACCTTATTTACATTGAACCTTATGGGGAAATTTGACTTGGCTCATGACCAATTTGGGTCACGACCAGAGTCCTGGAACAGATTAAGTTTGTGAGCCAAGGTACCACTGTACTTCTGCTTGGTTCATCTCATAACATATGTTAATCTGATTTTATCTCTGAGGACAATATAGATTACTCCTCCCATTTATCCTTCAACAGCTCTGTCAGGCAGGCTAGCTGAAAGTGACTGGCCACAAAGAACCCAACAAGCACCATGGATTCCCAGATACTCTGCTAGAATTTGCATGTCAAACTAAGCCAATCTAAGGATAAGCCATGGTGGGTAGGTGCCTTCTCTGTTGTTCCTGGTAGACAATCACCTAATCCACAGCTTGCCATGGATTGTTTCTCCTTTAGTTCCTCTGATGCAGCTTACACACAGGGCACACCGGCTGTTCTCTTGCCAACCCACATTACTCCCAACAGGTGACTAAGTAAATGGCAGCTCAGTGTGTCTTCATTTCCCTTTGGTTCCTCTAAATCTTCCAACTTGCTCCCTGCATGTATCTGAATGGCATCTGTGTAGCAAACCATCTAGTCTCCTCATCTTTTCATCTTTGCTCTCTTTCCACTTCACTCTCTGCCCATTTGGGAGCACTTACTTTGATCACCAGTTTTGAAATAATTTTTCAGTGCTCCTAGAGTATATACATGGAATCACTTTCCGCTCAGTCCTTTGCAAATGCACAAGAGCATAGATTTGGCTGTCTGATACGTGTGATCTCACCTTGTGAATTCCCCTGCATGTTACAGCTCCTAAAGTGAGCTTGGAAGTGAAATTAGGTAACCAACCAAAAAAATGACAAGATGAAGCTGTATATAAACTTATTTGAACACAGTTGGACAGTACGGGGGCAATCATAGTAAAAGAAGGTAGGATCCATTTTCAGAATTCAGAAAGAAGCAGCAAAAAACAAACAAACAAACAAAAAACCCTAAAAGAAAATGCTAATGAAGTGCTCTGAAAAAGAGCACCAAAAGGGATGGGACAGAACTTCCCACTTAGCCACCCTATTAAGCCTTCAAGTGACACATCAGTTTACTTGCTGGTTTCAACACTTTCCCATTTTTTAAAAAAGGTGAAGAATGAATGATGGTCCCTCCAAAGTGCTGTTTGGACACTGGTGGAGCAACAGATCCTCGCAAGCAAGAATGGAGGTACCATTTGCAAGACTGTGAACAGTGGCACAGGCTTTTTTTCATTTTCTTTTGCCACGCTGGCTGAATAGCTGTGTAGTTGCCTGGTAAAAGCTACACTACTGGGTTCCAATGTCATGGCAAGACACTTGGGGAGCAATCCCCAACAGCCCTGATATAAGCTGTTGGTTCTTAGGGTGGCTTGTCTGATGACCCCTGTATCAGTGGAGTCCCTTATCATTCTGAGCTTTATAGGAGTTCCAAGGTGGAGAACCTATTTTGGGGGTGCTGTTCAGTAGCATTGTAAAAGGTCTTGTAAAGATCAATATAAAAGCAGCAATGGATGAGGAGCTCCAATGCCTGTGCTTCCCTTGCATGACAGTAACAATAATCTGTCCCCATTTCATTGGTCATGCAAACGGCAGCAGAAGGATTGGATGGCTACTTTAATTTTGTATTAAAGGATGACACCACAAAAATGCACATACGAGACCTGAGCTTGTATGCTTTGTAGCAAAGCACCACAAACACATTAAAGGTTTGGTGTGTGAGCCATGGCAGTCCTACAACAGAAGCTGCTCAAAGTATGAGCTGGAGCAGACGACACACAATGATTACAGGACCAGCCGTGCTATTTCCACATTTGTTTGCTTGTCAAAGATTTCACTTGTATATTGAGTATCTGATGGTAAATGAATGCTGAGCCAATTTATAGACAGTTACATTGTCAAGGGCACCATCTGCAGAGAGAGTGAAGACAAAGTTTAGGGAATGAAATAGAAAGGCTTGTGATATCTATTCTGTCCCCTTTCATTCTGTCTTTCCAGCTGATGTGAAGAACCCAGGTGGAAAACTTCACTTGCCGTATCAGGGAGGAGAGGAAAAAAAACATAATTGATTATTCTTATTAAGGAAACTGCTTTTGCCAAATGCATTTAGATTGCCCAGGTTCATTCTTACAATGAATTATTCACTTTACAGCCGTAGGAAAAATACAAAGTTCTATGCAAGACATATTTCTTTGCCGCAGTAATTATGATGAGTGTAGTGTTAGATTAATTAGAGAATGAATGAGGAGCAGAGAATTATGATCAAAGAAATCCGGATCTAAGGATTTGCTTTAAATGTTGCTTAATCCATGGAATATCACATCTTGTGCCCCTGGAAACATTGAATGAGAAGGAGCGTTTCACAGGCATCCAAAGAAAAGAATGACTGGAGACTGACAGGTAGCACAAAGCAAAGAGTCGGAGCAGTACAGACATACAAGAAGCCTTTATTTCAGTTTGCTATCCTAACAACAAATGGATTTGCCGGACGACACCACTTTGTCAGTGAATGTTAGCACAGGACGAGTGGTATTGATGCCCCGTATTGGTTATACTATAATAGCAATTATCATGGCAACATCTTGTACTTTATCAGTCATTTTGAATACCACTGTTATTGTAGTAACTATCAAGTACAAACAGCTTCGTCAGCCCATCAACTATTCCCTGGTCAATCTAGCTATAGCAGACCTTGGAGCGGCCTTGCTGGGAGGAAGCCTGAATGTAGAAACAAATGCTGTTGGTTATTACAACCTGGGTAGAGCTGGCTGCGTCACTGAAGGTTTTGCTATGGCATTCTTTGGTGAGTACACATGCAAAGTTGCTTTGTTGCATTAGAGAATTAGAAAAGAGCCACTGAATTGCTCTTGAGCAAGAAGTTCCTCATTGTGCAGTAGAAAGAGTCTGAGATTTCAGCAGAATTCTAGCAGTGCTAGAATTCAGCAATCAATGCTGCTCGATTCTTTACATGTCTCTATAGTAAGGGCTATACTTATATTTATGTATGTGTTTAGGTCTTGCACAAATGTCATCTTTTTTAATAGATGGAATGATGATTAAAAAGAACATTACAGCTGCCTTGGCTTTGCAAAACAGTGAAGTCCACAAAAGCATGTCAATGGAAGACTTTTGCAGACTTTGCTACTGCATCTGTTGGTGTTTCACCCTAAAAAGCAAGTTTCCCCTTTGCTTTGTTTTGCATTATCGAAGAAACAGGAATAATGTTGTCTTTATGTACCTTCATATGTGGCAGTTGTTTAACAGACCATTTATTCTAGAATATTATTGGAGTATTCTCACAGTTTTTCATAGCACACTGTCTGTTTGCAAGGAGTCCTGATTTTCTGGTTCCTATCTTTGTTAAACCACTGTTCCCATTTTTTTTCTTTACAGTACATGAGGGTGCACAATATACAACTGGACTGTTCAGAATTTATTTCCCTCCTCCGGGCTTTTCTCTGAATGGGAGAAGGGATAGATCCATCTTGGTTTTGGGTATATGCATGTAAATACAAGCATCAAAAGCTACTGATTTGGATTCAAATGTAGTTCTATTTAGAACAGACCCACTGAAATCAATGGAACTTAAGTCAGGTTAACCCACTGCATGTCCATCCATTTATGCTGCTGATCCAGATAGTAACTATACATGAAATTATATATACATAATAATTATAAGGGCGTATAGCCATCCCAAGACGCCAGTAGATGGACAGTCTATAAAAGCTTTAAATAAGTAAATAAGTAAATAAATAAATAAATAAATAGGGAGAAGTACACAATAGTCTATAATTGGCTATGTAATGGGATACCTTAAAAAGATGTTGGGACAGGTGTTTGTTCCCATGACAAATTGGCAGTTTCCTGAATATCACAGTTTCCTTTGCAGTCCACTTTGTATTATTTTTTACAACATAAAAGTGTAGCAGATTGAATGCTAGCCTGCCGAAACAAAACATGCTAGAGCATTTAGTCATATTAGTTTTTCTCCATTTTTCAAACAAAACAAAGCAAAACCAGTGCACCAAAATTCTGTTAAATAGGCTAATTTTAACCAATCCTCCTCTATTATAACCTTACTCATCCTCTACCAAAGCCAATCTCTCCACCATCTTTGTAAAATAGTAATATTTTAAGATTACATAGGCTGGGATCCAGAATCAGTCATATTTATGGTACAGCCATTAAAATCAATGGGTTTTTAGTATTGAGAAACTTAAGTCACACTGATTTCAGCAGATGTTCACTCAGTATGACAAGGCCTGGATCCAACCCATAGCATTTTTCCTGAAGGCTCAAAGCACTTCAAATGCCATCTTTCAGCAAATGTAGCAAAGATATCATTAAAAGTGATGTATTAATTATGGAATTAATTCCTCTCACATTTTATTAAAATGTCATTTTTAAAAGCCTGTAATACTAGAGGCCTCTCAGTGAAATCATGGCTCATATTACATGTTCTTAAGACTGCCAAAACAAAGAGATCAAGAGCCAATGTGGCACAGTGGTTAGAGCATTGGGCTGGGACTTACAAGAACTGGGTTCTAGTCCCCACTTGTCCATGAAGTTCACTGAGTGATTTTGAGTCAGTCACTTACTCTCAGCCTAACCTACCTCACAGGGTTGTTGCTGTGAGGATAAAATAGGGTGGAAGAGGATATGTAAGTCATTTTGAGTTCCTTGGGAGAGGAATACAAGGCAGAGTATAAATATAATAGATCAATAATAATAAACATAGGTTTCAATCAACAAGACAACACAATGACTCAGTCCACAGGTAATGGCAAATTGTGAGTTAATTAACCCATGATTTACCACGTAGGAGCAAGTGTGCATGTTATCTCTGACATGCTGCTCTCTCCTACTTTCATTTTATAACCCAAATTCCTCCCAGCCATAGCTTGACATCTGAACATGGACCCTTTCAGTTGTTAAGAGGTTAAACAACTCAGTGTTAACCTAGTAACAAATCAACCCAGAATTTACTGTTTAATGCAAACTAATTCTATGGGTCCAGAGTTACTCATGTGTAGAGTAGAGTCACTGAAACCAACTGAATCTAAGCAACATCCTGTTGGTTTCAATGTTTTTAAGCATCATTACACATGGATCCAGACTAGGTGTTTAAAGAATATTCCATCTTCAAGTGAACATGTTTCTATGCCTATCCTATACTGAGCAAGATGTGTTCATGTTTTTCAAATGCTGCATTTCTTCTCAAACATTTTGTGACTTTTTGAGATGAAATGGCATCTGCTACATTGTCAATAATTCTATGCTTCTCATCAGAGAACTCAGCTGAAATAATTGCCAAACTAGAAAGCATATATTCAGTTAGCTGTTGCAACACCAAGGGCTATCGCTTAAAAAGAAAACCAGGGATTTCTCTGTGTACAAAAGATGTTTTTACAATAATGGAGCATTTCTTGAGAACAATTGTGACAGAAACCCAGCTTCAGGCAAAAAAATCAAAAATAGCAGCTATAGTATGTTTCAGAAAAGAAATGTAAAGGTTTTTTCCCATAGTGATGTTTGAAATATGAAAGATACTTGACATGTGAAAAGCACTAGATGAAACTCCCTTAGATGGAAGTGACCCCAAGCTGAAAACAGTTGCTTTGAGAAGCATTTCTGAAGAGTAATTTCTTCAGTGTAGACTGTGAGATGAAGTTAGCTTTGCAAGCTACCATGAAAATGGAGGCAAGATTCCCAGAAACTAGAAGTTCAAACTAAGTGGCCAATAAGCCACCTGGTAGACCGTAGGAATGCTGTACACATAATATATCTTGACCATAACAAAACTTTTGACAGAGTGTCTCATGATATTCTGATTAACAAACTAGCTAAAAGTTTGGAACAACTATCAGGTAGATTCACAGTTGGCTACAGAATGTGACAAATAGTGCTTATCAACAGCATCTCAAACTGGGAAGCAGTAGCAAGTAGGATACCACAGGATTCAGTCCTGGCCCCAGTGCTCTTCAACATTTTCATTAATGATTTGGATGAGGAAGTGCAGGGAGTGATTATCAGATTTCCAGATGATGCAAAACTGGGTGGGATAGCTAATAGTCTGGAAGACAGAAACAAGATTCAAGAGGATCTTGATAGGTTGGAGCACTCAGCTGAAAACAAGAGAATGACATTCAGTAGGAACAAATACCAAGTCATAGGAAAAAGAAACCAAATGCATAATTACAAGATAGGGAATTCTTGACTCAAAATACTACAGGCAAGAAAGATCATGGAATTGTTGTAGATCACAAGCAGAATTGGAGTTAACAATGGGATATGGCTGCAAAAAAGGCAAATGCTCTTTTGGCTTCATTAAGAGAAGTCTCACTTCCGAATCATGTGAAATACTAGCATGTTTCCACCAGCACTAGTTAGGCCTCATCTTGAGTATTCCTTCAAGTTCTGGGCGCCACAAAAACTGTGGGAAGCCACTGCCAGTCAGTATCTACAGTATAGCAGGTCTTTTTTAGTATAAGGCATAAAATGATATGCTTGTATAACACTAGCACTGTGCTACTTTTAGTGGTTGCCACTCATGCATTTCCAGCCCACAAAGTGTGGGGATTGGCCTTTGAAGTCCTAAATGGTTTGAGGCCATGTTATTTGGATGACTGCCTCTACACCTATGCATCTACCCACCCTCTAAGAGATGCCTCAGTAGCCCTGCTGACACGACCAACAGTGAGGACAAATTAGGCTGGCAGGCATAAAAGACAGAACCTTCACTAAACTGGCCCAGATTGTTTGCACTCTATTCTAAATGAAATAGATATGGTACCATGATTGTAGGCCATTAAACAGGCTTTGAAGAACAGTTCTTCACAGTACCCTGCATCTTTCCTACTCTTTTCCAAGATTCTTAGTGCTCAGGGTGGAAATGTGCAAGACACTTTTCTACGGAAGCTGTCAAGGCACAGCCTTCCTTTTTATTAACAGGAGAAATGACAGGGCTATCCTGGACTTTTTTTCTTTTGAGAAAGACATATGCATATGTATATACGTATATATTTGCCAAAAAAACCCCTCATCAGCCTTGCCCAGTTCTGTCCATAGAGAGTTTCCACTTCTCTACTTCATTAGCACCACCAGGACATTGAGAGGAATCAGGTCCAACAAAAAAAAGAAATAAACACAGACAGAATCAGAGGATCTTGCTACAAAGGTAGTGATTCACTGGCTACTGCCTTTTGCAAGTGACAGTTACTCCACTCTGCCAGTTGGGCATCAATGCAATGGCTGCCAGTTGAGGTCTCTTCAGCATAGGTGACTGAGGGTTCCTGATCTTAGCCCTGTTGCCTTTCAACACACATAGAAAACTGGTCTGTCCAGAGAAAAGGTAGAATAAAACCTCTCTACACCCCCACCCCACTGACTAATAATAAATCATTCAGTCTCTCCCTCTGCACTCTCATGTAGTCTGAAGTAATATGGCCCAGATGCACCTTCAGTGTTCTACTACATACAATGAGAACAAGGCTTCTTCCTTGCAGCCTAGCTTACTTCATAGGATTCTTGCAAGAATAACATGGGGCTATGTAAAGGGAAGGAGGGAGGGAGGACAGTAAACAAGCATGATTAATAAAGTACCACAAAAGATTAAACTTTGGCCATCTCTATTTAAAAGATTTATATGGATGCTGCCAACCCGTGCCACAGTCTCCTCACAATTCCCTCCGAGCTTGCCTGAGACCTCACAATAGCTGAGGGAATAACATTTCCCAGTAATGATTCATTGTTCTCTGTATTTTGGGATGGGTTGCTTTTGAATGAGTTGCTCTTGAATGGGTTGCTCTAAGGCCCGTTAGATTTATAAAAGACTACTGGTAGCTGATGGAAATGCCCCAAATCAGTTTGTTGTTATGGGTCAACACAGTTCCCTGCTGTTTTGGATGAGTACCTGCACTTCAAAATATACCACATCACACCAACAACCTAACCCTCTGACATGATAAATTTTAGGTGCCAGAAGGCATGGCTTTTTTGCAAAAGACTAACATGGCTACTCCTCTGAAAACTATAGCATCCAATATACATTTCAACCAAATACTTTATCTCTACAATGCATATTTTCTCTTTTATCTTCCACCTGCTCCCTTTCTTAAAAATCAGTTCTTATTGCCATGAATCCTTATTGCCTGCTAACACCATCTTTTTATGATGTAATAATTAGAATGTAGTTCAATATTCATGCAGAAGCTTAACAAGAAATTTTATAACCTCATTTATATTACTTGCGTTCCATTGTTCTGGTTTATATGGGTTGTCCTTAAAGGATCCTCATTCTTATACCGCTTACTTGTGAGTGAAAATTGCAGTTTTCAGCACATTTACAGTCCTTTTTTTCTTTTGGATACGTTAGGAGATGACAGTAAAATTGTGATGCAGAATAAGAAATGGCACTTTGCTAGCTTATGTGCTCCAAATGCATAATTTTATATACAAGAAAGAAATTAAGCTGGTATTTGTAATTAAAATTAAGGAGAGAAACAAAAACATGTATCTATTTTTTACAGAAGAGTTTGCTTGATTCCAAATGAAGTTCTATTGCAAATCTCTGTGGATGTTCTGCTCAGTCATCCATTTGAGAAGAACATCAGAATCCTGGGTCCATCCTATTTCTAGCTGTTGCCAGTTCAATTTTTCCAGGAAGTCAATAGCAGGGCACAAATGCAACATTTCCCCACCTACCTCCAGAACTAATGTTCAGTCATAGTGCGCCAGTATGCATGACGTGCCAGGTTACCCATTGGTTATTTAACCAAGGATGAGACATAAGGCACGGCAGGACCCAAGTTGAATATACGAGTGGGATTGCAGCATACCGTCTGAACCTTGCCATTAAAGGTTAAAGAACCATTCAACAAATTAAGTTCTTTAATTTTCAATCCCTTTCCTAATTTGTTTTTGTTGCCTTAAGGTCAACTTACATTTGTTTAATCAAAGAATGTTGCTCCTTTTTGTTTTACTCATTTGGCTAAGACTTCTGCTCTTTTAAAGGTAGGCTTTTTGCCTGATACAGCCTCTTTGACTCTCCCTGTTAATTATGCTGGCATTCCCTTGGACTTAGCATTATTTAAGCTGTGATATATATTTTGTTTACGCTTCTATAATGATGATGTTTAAATAGCCTACAGGCCTTCTGAAGAAGCTGTATTTCCCTGGTTCTCTTTTCTAACTTTCTGTTCCTCATTAATCCCCCCATTTATGAAAAAAAAATCTCCTTAAAATTACATTTGACCATGTTGGACAACTTCTAATTTGAACATACAGTATACCCCCATGAAGTTGCGGTTCAGCGTTCGCGGCCTCATGGAATTTCATGGAATTTTCCGTGCGGCAGCATGCTCACAAGGACATCGGTTTCTCTGAGCGAGTCCAAGCTGATCTCCTTGCGAGTAAGCCTTGCTCGCAAGGAGATTGGTTTGGACTCAGAGAAAACAATCTCTGCGCACGCTCGCCCCTGCCCCTCACACACGTGCGCCCACCCCCCCCCCGGCCCAGCCCAGCCCAGCCCAGCCCACGCCCCCTGCCTGCACCGCCTTGGCGGCCGGCACCCATCACTGGTACCAAATTCGTGGTTTTTCAAAATTCACAGGTGCTCTAGGAACGTAACCCCTGCAAATTTCGGGGGACTACTGTATAGAATCAGTTAGAAAAGTCTGAGTTAAGAACAACCCCTACTTATGAATGAGCATACCTGGAAGTCCTGCCTCATCCTTAAGTAGCAAGCAGGCAGTGAAAAACTCATGAAAAACTACCATACCCAAGCCAGGGTGTTTTGGATCACATGGAGTCAGTGCTGCCTTCTGTGATTTTGTACTGTATTTGGTTTGTAACCATGCCTCCAACAGCAGTTCCATCTCTGTCATCATCCACTTCATGTTAGTTTTTATGTTACCTCAAGAAGTGTTGACCTTTAATCATTTTTTTATTATTTTTTCTATCTTTCTATCTAAACTGTTTTAAGAACTGTGCTGAATACCTACATACATACAGATTGCTTCACTCTCTCTTCAGTACCAGTAGTTGCTTTATTATTACTATATTATTATCATTATTTAAATGCTGTATTACGTTTAAGATATTTAGTGTATATGGAGGTGTTTCTTAAGTGTTTTATATGCTTTTTATATACGTGATCTGACTTCTACACAAATTCAATTTAAAGATAATATCAGGAATGGAACTAATTCTTAACCTGGGGCCAGGTGTATTGGACATTCACACTGAGGCCCATTTCTGATAACACCTGCATCCCACTGACCACTCTGGGTAGTTCACGGGTCATCTCCCCTCTACTCAGTTTCAGGACAAGCCTCACAATGAACTGGCATGTCCCACAGGCAAAGATATTGGCGCAATTAGGTGGTGCTGTTTTCCTCCCACTATCAGTATCCCCTGCAGATGAGGGAAGGTAATTCAAAGCTATTGTAGGGCAGTGCAAATTCCTTATGCTGGCCCTCTGGAAAAATAGAGATTTAAATAAATCTGAATTAAGAAGAAATTCAAACAGGGGCAGTGCAGTGGCATTTACCCTTTTTTCAATATTAAGAAAATATTACAAGCAACGAATAACCTCGTCTTTTTCTGCAATTGCAGGCATCGTGGCTTTGTGCACCATAGCAGTGATAGCTGTTGATCGTGCAATTGTGGTTGGCAAGCCAATGGGAACACTTACCTTTACCACCAGGAAAGCCATGATTGGTGTTGCGGCTTCCTGGATCTGGTCTCTTGTCTGGAATACGCCTCCTCTTTTTGGTTGGGGAGGATACCAGATGGAAGGCGTCATGACCTCCTGTGCTCCGGATTGGTACAACAGTGACCCTATTAATGTTTCCTACATTGTCTGCTACTTTCTGTTCTGCTTTACAATTCCATTTGTTATGATTTTGGTTTCCTATGGATATCTGCTTTGGACTCTGCGCCAGGTAGAGCTGCTTTCCATAGTTTTGCTTAACTGGTTGAAGTATTGTAGCACAACAATTTTAAACAGAAACCAGAGAATCTGGTAAGAGGTCAGTTAAAATGTGATAATTTGTTCAATATACAGTCTTGTAAACCATTTTGTGTAAACATAGAGGTAGTTTACGTTGGATTTCATGATCATCCAAGAAACATGAGACCATAACCTGAAGTTTGGCAAAGCTGGTGCAGACCAACATGCTTAGACAGAAGGAAGTTCTACAGCTTCCAGCATTCTGCAGCCAGCATGGCTAAATGGTGAATACCAGGAATTATAGGGCCTTTTCTGCCTAACCATATAGAGGTCTGCACTCTTAATTATGTATCTGTAACTTAACCTTAGAAAGGGGGCTGCTTTTTCCATGCAGAAGAATCATGTGTATGTAACTATACATACACATGTATGTATAAGTGATGGGACGGCATACAAATACTCTAAATAAATAAATAAATAATGACATAATTGTGAACTGGCAGCTTATTGATAATAGTTGCAGCAAAAGAGGAAAAAGTTATCCAGTCGCCACCCCTGGCTCCATATGTTAAACACTGTGAAAGTTTCTGTGACTGAGATAGATCTCTGGGGGACCTAGTCAGCCCTCTAACCAGGGTGGAACAAATGGGTGCACTGCCCTCCCCCAGAGTTGTGGTTCCCTCTCCCTAGGATTTTTTTTTCCTGAAAATTGTCTTTTAATTTGTGACATGGCAGACAATTACTACCTCCATTTAAAAAACGACTGCTTGTTTTAACCAGAGCAATTTAAGTCTGGGACCCTCTGAAAATTTCAGTGAAGGCTGCGCAGGTGTACAAGAAAAGCATCTTTTCTTGTACACTTCCCACCCCACAAGGGTGGATTTTTCATTATCACAATTGCCTTATCATTACTTAAGTGATCCTGAAAAAGAAAGCAAAAATGTTGTAAGCCGCCCCGAGGCTTCGGCGAATGGGGCGGCATAAAAATGTTTTAATAAATAAATAAATAAATAATAAAAACCTGACGGTTGAGCAGTTAAATATTAGAGCTTAATCTTAGGAGCCAGATTTGGACTCCATGCCTTACTCTGCTTTTCAGTTTTGGTTGTGTTATATACCCAACCAACACTAAAGGAGGAGGCTCGATTGCCTGCAGTAAGAAGAGTTTACATTGCCAGTATTATGATGAGTTGTATTGAACTGGGTGCTTTTTGCTAAAGGGTTTGCTAAAGAGCTAACTTAGAGTGATCCGAAAAAAATTCTTCCCCAAGTTACTCTTTAAAGCACTCAATATACTCACAAGTGTAGTAGCTATTTTTTCTTGAATACTTGATGACAAAGGATTAAAATAGCCCTAAAGGAATAGAAGCACTGCTGTGCACACTACAGCTGTCTGGCTGGCTGGCTGGCCAGCTAGGCTGCAATGCAGGCCTAATTTCTGATTTTCCCCATGCGTATACCTCAGCATGAGGCATTTTGGGGATTTCTGGACTGAAAAATCAATAGCAACCGGTAAAAAAGAAGAAAAACATACTGCTTTCTACACTTGCTTTCCCATCACTTAGTCCTTTATATAGTATTCAGTTACAAAGTTTTCCCTTGATTGTCTAGCAGGAAGGCAAAGGACAGCTAGAGATGTGGCTACCCCATCTAAAGAGGCAGGTCGTTTAAGAACGAGACCCTAGTTCTGTTTTAAAGTACTCACATTACCCAGGCAGTAAATGAGTCCTGCAAGCTGAGAAAAGCCACACGTTACATGGGAACTGGCTCTGGAAAGAAGTCCTGCATTTTATTTGCAAGGGACATCTACTGTTTCAAAACCAGAACAGCAGAATAAATTATGTGCTTATTATTTTATTTCATTTGCATACCACCAAATAGCCAAGGACAATTAGCAATTTCCATAATTGGAAAACTGTTAACTCTTTGCTTCTCTTTAACATTCAGCTCCCCGCCCCCCCCCCCCAATCTTCTGCCTTCCCTATGTATTCGATTATGCTTCCCACCCTTTCTAAGGATGGAGAAGTGGTACTCCAACACACCTGAAGGGCCTCAGATTGTGCTCTGACCTATGCAAAGCAGCTCATTCACTCACATTTATCAGATACATATTCTGTCTACAACTTTGAATTACTGCTAGGGTCTGTTTGGACTGAAAACACAGACAGAAAAACAAAAACAAGAGGTGCAAGAGGAATGTATCTGTTGCTCAAGCAACTTGCATCAGGAAAGTGACTGAGGTTATCCTGTGCCTTAACAGCTTTCCTCATGTCACTGCTTGTAAGTACAAGTGCAGACTCTATGTCTTTGTTAATTTTTTGGAAGAGAGAATATCACCCAGTGTGTGCATGTCCCCATCATATACTGTGGTTTATGTTTTAGAAGCTTGGATGAGTCAAATTCTCATATATCACAAGGCTTTTTCAGCCAAAATACCTTCAAACGAACTCAAACTGTTGTGATTTTTTTTAAAGGCAGACACCTTCACTCAGCATTTGGAATGCTCACAACATTCAGAGACATTCAGCTCAACCAGCTGGTGTTAGGTGCATCCCTACCTCCACCAGGCCCCTCTCCACACTCGCGGATTGCAGGGATCTCCTATGAGATCCTTGCTTCTGCCTCCTTTAATACCTGTTCAGTCTGCATATTTGTAAATTAACAGATTACTGCAACAGCATCAGGCTGACCTGAACTCTTCACTGTTCAGGGGAGGAGCAGCATATGAAACAATACATCCTTGAGCACTTCTACATAAGTTGTCATACCATTATTTTACACAGAATGAAATATAATCACGTTGATGTGTGTTATATTTTTGACAGCTATCTAATGTGCTATTTTTAACCAGGTTGCTAAAGTTGGAGTAGCACAACGAGGTTCAACAACAAAAGCGGAAACTCAAGTGGCATGGATGGTAATAGTAATGGTTATGGCTTTTCTGATCTGCTGGCTTCCTTACGCAACTTTTGCCTTGGTGGTTGTGGGTAATCCTGAGATCTATATTAATCCTATTATAGCCACTGTTCCCATGTACATGGCAAAAACCAGCACTTTCTATAATCCAATCATCTACATTTTTATGAACAAGCAGGTGAGTTTAAACTCAGTATGATCTGTAAAACATGGGAATAAAACATTTATATATTGCTTAGTATCCTCTGAGAATCTTAAAAAATGATCAAGCAACACACACCATCTCTACCCCACTTCTGCCCTTCAAAATGTCTCTCTTGCTCTCTCTCCTCTGAAAAAAACTGCAAAATAAGTTGCTCTGAATATTTCTTCTCTGTTATGTGAGTGGCAGCATTTCCCTGTTTATAGCTGACCTGGACTGTAATTCCCATCACCTCTAGTCATTTGCTATGTGGGCAGTGCCTGATGAGAACTGTAGTCCAAAACATCTAGAGAGCACCAGGCTGGGGAATGCTGGTGTACACAGCACATGGCACCTATCTGTAGGTCTGGTCTTTGGTAAGCACATGGAATTTTTTGCCTTGCTTAAACATGTAGCCATGCACAAACATATTTGTAACAGGCTTACAGGGATCATGCAACTCATTACAAGAATGAAACCATTCTCTTACCAAGAATTTTGTATGTGCCTTGATGTGCTTTTTTGACTGCATGACAAAGAGCAATTATGCCTTGCTCTCCCTTTACTAGTCAGGCAGCAAATCAAGGAATACAAAAATACAAAATATCAGGTACAATGCTCTTTTGCTGGTTTGTTAGAGGGTTATTTTAATGCTGCTTGCTATGTGAAAAATTCTTTGCTGTGCTGCCACCTTGTGACTATATTATAATGATACTAAATAACAAAAATAATAAATGAGGCATAGATCCCTTGCATATTAGGTATTCATTTCAACAGAAATTATATTAACACTCAATTTTAATCCACTGTCATACAAAAATATTTTTGAAATTACTTTCATCCATGTCTAAAATAATTTATATTGCTCTACAACTTGGCATTAGTTCTGACTCAAAGGAGGTAATATTCATTGCTTAGAAACATATTGTCAAAGAATTATCTTCACTAGTAAACACATACAAATAAATTAACAAGAAGCCTAGAGACAAATAACTGTCTGTTTCACTCAGCACGTGAAATTCAATTAAACTTAGGCTTTTTGGTAGCATTGTCCTAAGTGACAATAAAAAGTTACAAAAGAGGTCCCAAAGCTGCCATGACAACTTCTCCTGCCTAGATATAAGAGTCTAGATAAAAGACCATACGAAAAGCCATGGAGGGTCAGACTGAAAGCCCATCCAGTCTAGCATGCTGTTCACACACTAGCCATCCAACATGTTGAGTAGTCATTGATAATTGTTCATGAATGTGCCTCATCCCATTTTAAAGCCATCTAAGCCATCTAGGCAGCCAATGCTACATCTTCGAGTAAATTCCATCATTTAAGAAATATTTGCTTTTCTCTGAAATTTCCCAGCTTCATTGGATGAATGATTCCTGCTCTGTTCTAGTATTATAAGAGAGTGAGAAACTGATTTTAGCCAAACTGCCCCTTTACTAGCTGCCTTGGCATCCCCTTGTCTATAAAATATACCCGCTCCTGACCTGAGGCATTTGATTAGACCAGCCTTCCCTGACTTGGTGGCCTTCAGAGGCATTTGAACCGCAACTTCAAGAATTGCCATCCAGCACAGGCATAGCGCAGGAATTCTGGGTGTTGCAGTCCAAATGTGTCTGGAAGGCACAAGGCTGGGGAAGGCTGGCATTAGACCCATCCTGTCTTATTTCCAGAGGAGGGGCAGTTTCCTGGCCTTTTGCCCTCTAGGCCTCATTCTCCATCAACTTTTGCTTCAGGTTCCTTGTTTTCTGTCCACTGCTGCTCAGAACCTTTCCCCATTAGCCTCTCTGTCCATGAGCTTTCCAGGAGTAGGTAGCATTAGAAGCTTCACTCTATGTAAGTACAACACGATCTAGACACTAGTATTGTAACTTCACCTCTAAAACAGTGCAACAAAACAATTCTACAAACTGCTTTCATTATGGGTTCCAACACTTTGGCTTTAGTGCCATATGAAACAGTTGCCAGATTTTTATGACAATGTTAAGGTGAAGTGTAGGGAAAGGTACTTAAGTAGATTGTGGCCAACTCTTTCACTAGGTTTGTTCATATCCTTTTAACAACAAACTGACACAAATTAAGCAGGCAAAGGCCTTTCCTTGAATGAAGAGAAAGTGGTAGGAAAAGTTTTATTTACATGTAGGATAGGAATCCATTGGAAGAGAGTCAGTAATTTGTTTTCAAATGGTTAAGTATACCAAACATACACAATATCTTGCAGCAATAATAAATGTAATAAACACATGGGGGAAAGATAAATAAAACTTTAACATATACTTGAATTTGGCATAAGCCAAATGTAAAAATTTATACCTTTTCTTTCCAGTTCCGCAATTGTCTTATTAGGTGTCTTCTGTGTGGAAGAAATCCATGTGCTTCTGAGCAAGCAGAGGAAGACGATCTAGAAGTTTCTACAGTTGTTCCCCCTTCCTCTTCCAAACGTGGCAAAGTTTCTCCTATGTAGAACACCATTCAATAGTGTTTTGAATGGTTTACACCATGATGCTACTCATGTTTACTCAGAAATCAGTTCCACTGTGTTTAGTGAAGCTTATTGCCTAGTTAAATGTGTTTAAAGTGCTCCATTTGTTGACTTTTGTAAAATCTGGTGTCCTATTAGCTTTCTTCGCTGAGTGCTTACATTGCTACTGTTCTTTCTGGAAGATGGTGTTTTATAGTGTACAGAACATCCTGGAAATAATTATTGTGTCTGATATTGCTGGAACTATTATTTTCCCACCTTTCAGTTTGTAAGGTACCAGGATTACAAAACAAGGAAACAAAAAGCCAAAAGTAACTGTCAAGAACAGATAGAAATCAAATGTAGATAGAGCCCAACATGAAGGGAGGAAGGGATCAGGTCAAATGCAAGGAATAAGAGCCCATAAGCATTAAAGATTACAATTAATTACTAAAAAGCCCAACAGAATAAAGTTAATGCAGTAGCTGTGGGGATGAGAGAGGAAGAACCACAGAGAGAAACAGGCCAGGCTTTGGCTGCCACTTACTCAGAAGGCCTAACCTACCACTGATCTGATGCCTTTACTTCAGCTGGTCACAGGATATGGAATGTAATCTGTGCATTGCCAAATCAATCAATCTTTATTGTGTGATCAATCTCCCATAAAAACAGAACAAATGTAATAAACATTACCAAAAATGTAATTATCTGGTTCAACAGCTTGACATACTTGTTATGTCCCTGTATCTGTATATGTAACATTGTATATGCCTAGGATCCTCCATGTACAGATTTAAACTGTTATGTGTACCCCACAAGCTGGGGACAACAAGCCTACTAGCATTTGCATCAAATGTGCATAGACCACATATGTAGCACAGTACTCATTCCAGGCCCATCTCTCCATATAAAACCTCCAGCCCAATATCTAGCCACTATAAATAATAGATTTTTGATGTGGTAGCAGCTTTTTATAGACATCTATATAGCTAGAGTGAAAGAGTGCCACTGCTGAATTTATGAGCAGGGGGATGAACAGAAAATAATACCTATAATTGTATGGCACACTTTTTAAATTAAACAGTTAGAAAAAGACCTGGGAAATGTCACCACTTTTCTGGAATTATTTCTGAAAATAGCAAAAATTATTTTTGTTCAGAGAACTGCCTAGTTTCTACACTTTAATCCCATTCCTCTTTATTCTTTTTTTCCATTTTGTTTATCATTCATTGAATTCTTTTAGCTCACCTGTTACATCTGAGTTGAGGAACCTGTGGTCATCCAGCAGTGGTTAGACTTCATTTCCCATTTCCCTTCATTTCCCAGCTAGTGTGGCCAGTGGTTAAAGATGATGGGATGTATGAGTCAACAACATCTGCAGGGCCAGAAGTTCTCCCCTCCTATATTATGTCTGTAAGACAAATAAGTGGGGGAATGCTACTTTGGTGAAATTTCTAGTAGTCTCCCTACTCTAGACTTTTTCTAATACCTTTCTCAATGGGGTAACTTCCAGGCCGATTAATTCTGCTTTGACAATGATTTCATCACCTAACCCTTCTATGGCACCATCTGCAGCTCACCATTTGAGATGTAAGGCATTGTACTGTTTGCCTTCCAGGTATACTGTTTGTTCTTTCCTGCTTTCCAGCCCCAGACACCCTTTAGGACTTCCTGTTCTCATCCTCATACAAAAAAAGTTACAGTTGAGGAAAGATGATTGGCTGAGCAAGCAAAGAGAAGATTTCATAACTGTTGCCATGCCGACACTAGGCAATGATACATTAAGCACAGTCCTATGGGAAGGCCAAGCAAATGTGTTTAGGGTTGTAGTCTTGTAGCCTGATCCTAGAGAAATAACTAAGCCCATAGAATTAAATGGGTTTAGGCCCACCTAGCTCTACAGAGCAGTAGACTGCAAATATCTTGAGAATAAGAATGCCAGCTGCCAAAGACTTTGTTAATCATCCCAGGATCTTTGCATTCAGAGGCTGGAGCAAGAGGAATTTACTTTTACACAGACTGAAGTATGCCCAAGATCACGATTTTCAAAGGGCTTAGGGCTGGCCAACTCTCCAGTATGTGGCTGCAATGTATAGCAAATTCAGTTGAAAACTATGGCCTTAGGTTCCTCTGACTACATGAAATCAGACTGGAAGTAGAAAAGTGGAGACCATTTCAAAGGGCCCTGGTTGCTGGGCCTTTAATAGTAGTCTTAAGCAATAATAACATACTATCTCCATGTCTACCATTGTAGCTCTTAGCCTGCAAAGAGCTATTTCTCCAATCTGCAGGAACTGGTGAACTCAGAAGATATGATTGGAGATTATTATTTAAGAGGCCTTTGGAGGTCATCGTAAGAGCAGGGCCAGTGTCTAGGGCCAGCATGGCCGAGCATGTGTTGAGGGTTCACACCTTATCAGCAGTCTGTTGACAACAGTCCTCTGGAGTCACTTCTTTTTTTTCCTACTGCAACTCATCCAGACAAGAGAGGTGGTAAGAAGTAGATGCCATTGCTCATTTGCTCACTGTCTCACTGCCTGTCAAGCAAGCAAGTGGTGGTAGTAACGAGCAAGAGGATGAGGCATAATAGTAGCTGGTGACAAAGGGACTGAAAAGATCCCTTTGGGGAGGAAAGAGGACACCTTGAGGGTGTCTTGCCCAAAGATCTCCCAAAACCTGGATCTGTTGTGAACTGTTTAGCAGCAGAATTTCATGCACCAAAACTGGCATGGACTAAAGTTCCATTATTGCCCTGTGCAAATGATGGCACTCTTACATCTTATGTCTATAGGTCTCAAACATTTAATATGTGTATTCCTGAGTTGTTGTAGAGATAATCAACTGCAAGTTTAGCAAAACTAAGATACTGGTCTCTTTTAGATGCATTTATGAATGTGTCTGTCATGAACATTGGCTTTGTCCCTATGGAGATAAAGTAAGCACACCTTTGGGATGTTTGGTTGTTTGCTTTAATGTAACCTTCACAGTGAAGAATGTAATAGATTGCTTACTCCTCTTATGAGCAAATACTTCAGAAGGTCATTTGGAATATTTTCATTTGAAATGGCATTTGGAATATTTTCTGGCTGACATAAATCAGTCAATGACTGTTAGTACCTAAGTGCACCGTCTAAAATGGCTACCCATAACCCTCCAAACTCAGAGGATTATGGGCATCTAATGGAACATGGGAGGCCTGAAGAGGCAAGGATTGTCACTGTGCTTCTCCCACCCTGCAAAATAAATTTCAGCCATCCATGCCTTTCACTCCTGCTCAAGATTGCCCCCACAGTGCTTGTGCACTTGTGATGTTGGAACCACAGCTGGCATATTCGTAACCATGCCAACAGTGGGAGTAGAAGGAAGGCACTGTATGCTCAGAGCCTCAGCCTTGCCCTTAGAGTGCTTTTCCAACCTAGCCTATAGCCTCTAGACAGTGTCTGAAGGTGACAGGGTTGTGCCTTTAGTTCCTTTCTTCTGGAATAAATTCTTGCAAGATACTTTCGCCATCTCCATTGTAGTTCTTCATGTGTTTTAGATTGTATGTTTATCCATATGTATGCTTAAAAATGCTAAATTGTTTGGTAAAATCCTAATGGTCTTTCTGTCATCAAAAAGACAGCCAGCCAAATTGTTTCAGCATAGCCTTCCTAAACCTGGCATCCTCTAGAAGGGTTTGACTACAGCTCCCATAGTTAGCATGTTTTCATTCAGCTCATATTAGAACATCAAAAGAGCTTTTTTGGATCAGACCAAGAGTCCATCTAGGACAGTCTTCTGTTCACACAGTGGCCCACTATCTGCCCATGGGAAACCCACAAGGACAATTGCAACAGCACCTCCTTCTCCAGCAACTTCTGCACATAGTCACACTGCCTCTGACTGTGGATATAGCACAAGAGACATCAGGACTAGTAGCCATTATCCTGCATGCATTTGTCTTATCTCCTTTTAAAGTTGTCCAAATTGGTGGCCATCAATGGTGGAAATAAATCACAGTTTATGCACTGTGTGAAGGATTTTCTTTTACCTCTCCTGAATTTGCCACTGTTTAACTTCATCTTGTGTCACAGTTTTCTATGTGAGGGAGAAAACTATCTCCCTATCCACTTTCTTGACACTGTGCATAATACTGCACATGTCTCTCATATATCTCCTAGCTTACCTTTTTTTCTAAGCTGAACAACCCCAGATGTTGCAACCTTTCCTCATCAGGGGGTTGCTCCAGTCACTTGTTTATTTTAGATGCTCCTTTTTTCCACTTTTTCTAACTGTACAATATTCCATTTTAGGTGCTACAACTAAAACTGTACAAAGTATTCTGACTGTGATCACACTATAGATTTGTGTAAGGCGAGTATGATATTGATCCCATGGTCAGAGTACATCATTTCAGATGAGGTATTATGTGTACCGCTCATAGTATTGCCATTTCCAGGTGACATCAAGGGCCTTGTCATTGTGGTCCTCTCTGAACTGCTCAGAATAACAATTCTGTAGGAAGTACAGCACTGCTAAGTATCATTGGTTCATCCCAGGTAGGAATGATTTCAGTTCTGGGTACACATTGCTTATCTACAGGTGTGAATTTTAGCCTTGGAACAGTTAGGCAGTAGCAGAGAGCAAGTGTTTACTATATAACCACACTAAATGTTCCCCCACACATATACTTCCCATTGGCCATGGGAGGATAAGGGGATACTATATACACTATTACTATTATTAGCTTAGAGCGCTTCAATTCCTTTCCTATTTCCATTGAAACCTAAGGTTTCTTTCTTGATCAGTCACTGATAGGACAGATCTAGTGAAGCTGGGATTTTTTTTGCCCCACATGCATCACTTAGCATTTGCTTACTGACCCTTATTTGCCATTTTGATACCCATTCTCCCTGGAGAGATCCTTTTGAAATGCTTCGCAAGGCCTTTTAAACTACTTTAAATAGTTTGGTGTCATCAACAAATTTGGCCACTTCACTGCACACTCCTAATCCCAGATCATTGATGAAAGTTGAAAAGCCTTAGGGATCCCTCCATGTTTTGCCTAAACAAGGACATACAGGATTGGACCAGTATCAGAAGGACTGTGTTGGCTCCTGAGCCAAAACAAGCACAAAGAGGCCCACAAGGCAAGGCTATTTGCCTCAGCTTCTGTTCATGTATTTAAAAGCATGGTACAGTTGGGGTACAGTCAACTAGGTATCACAAATACTACTTTTATGATGTTTACTTTAAAGTTTGTATTATTGCTTTTTACCACAAAATGCTTATTCCTCGGGCCAGCACAAACAAACCATTCGATTCTTATAGTCCTGCTTGAGCCATGAATAAAGTGCCTTAAAAAGAGGAAAACTGCATGTGCTCAGAGTATTTTTAGCTTTACCAACAGGTTTTTTTTGGGGGGGGGGGGATCTCTTTACTCTAACGTGAGAAATGTAGAAACCGTTGCGAAACACGGAACGGGGAGGAAAAGAGAAACCCCAGTCCCGAAAACACACGCACACAGCGAGAGGGGCCCTCGAAGAGCTCAGAGACGGGTAACTGGGCTCAACTTCCGCTTCCGTCATTCGTTTCTATGGGTAACTCATACTTCCGTCACAAGGAAGCCGACAAAATAAGGCCCCTAAAAACGAACCGGGAAGTTCCTTCCTCCGAACGACGGGTCGGTGCGGGCCTATCCTGTCCCTATAACGCTGAGGCCAACGGGCCTTCCAAGTGGTTGGAAAGCCGGAGAGGGCGGGGCTAGGGCGGCCTGGCCCTTCATCGAAGGGGAAGTGGGTGATGTACGGGCCGGCCTAGGAGCGCTGAGCCAATGGGGACTGCCCAGCTCCGACTTCCCGGCTGAAGGGGCGGGGCTGGAAGCATACGGCAGGGGTGGGCAGTGCAGTGCTCGCTGGGCGGAGGTGGCGCAGCGATGGTTTACATTTCGAACGGTGAGAGGCAGCGAGTCCGGTGCGGGGAGGAACCCTTTGCACGGGGGGGATCAGGAGAACTGAGGGGGGAGTAGGAGAGCCCCCCAGGTCGGCTCTTTCCCCACGCTCAAGGGGGCTGGTGGGGAGAGATGCCGTAAGGCTGGCGCGCACGCTTGCGCCCTGATCTGTCGGGAAGAATGGCGAGCAGCGTAGCCCGTCGTCGTGGCTACTTCGTCGGCTGCGGCCTCCGCTGCGCCCGGAGACATGTCCTTAAAAGCCACGGAGAGAAGCCTGTTGGTCGTGCGCCACGGCTAAAGCGGGTCAAAAGGCCACTCGTATCTTCGGGTCTGGGGAGAATCACGTTGAAGGGAATGAAGACGCTTCCCTTTGGCGCGGAGGGGAAACGGGGGTGACCGTTGTGGGGAGAACGATTCGTTGGCTGCGATTCAGACGTGCAGGTTGTACCAGTTTGCGCGAGAGTCGCTAAGGACATCTGTTGCTTGTCATGTGTCACTTTTAAACCCCCTCAATATGAGAAAAGTACGCTTAAAATGGAAAGCGCCCGCTGAGCTAATGCAGACTTTACCAAGTTGTGACAAGTAGTCGATGCAGTCAGTTCTCACATTTTCCTGCCTTTCACTTTGACCTTTCATGTCACAGTTCTTTGTGGTGTGAATTCTTAGCCCTCAGAAGACTTGCACCAACCAGCTCTTGCTTCTTCTGAACCATCCTAGTTGAGAGCTGTAATCCTGGGGATGCTGCTTTGGGAGTGAGCTCCAAATATTAAGGAAAATTTTCTAGCATGAAGTTGCACACATTATTTCAGAACTCTTAATGACTGTGTTCATCTACTGTCTAATGTGTGTCAGTTCTCTGGCCTCTGATTATGTCACTCAGTACAAGTCTATCTTCCTTCTATACATTTTAAATAGGACACTTGATCTAAGTATTCATTGATTTGCAGCCTTAGTTCTGTTTCTAGAAGGGATTGCTTTCATTACGATGGCTTTGTGGTAGATGGAGCAGGCTATTTTTGTCACTAATCTACCTAAAACATCCTTTATGATGAGGATTTTATGGAGGTATTAACTTTAGGACTAGAAGGCTGAGAAATCTATTTCTAGTTGCAGATGGATTATGTTGGTGGCTTTGTGCATCTTGTCTGTTGTAAGCACTTCTGACTGATTCTTTTTAAGTAACTGTAACAGTTGGCATCAGCAAAAAATGGGATGCACTAGCAGTATTTGATTAGAAGCAATGCTGACAGCGTTTACCACCCGCTGAGATTTATTTTTCTGTTCCCCCTGAGCTAAAATGAGATCTCCATGGTGGTGGTGGGGTATGTGAATTTTTTCTACAACTGTATGTAGTTATGAAGGAATATCTTCCTTTCATATGTACTTGCCCAGATCTTAAGATCAGCCTTAAAGTCCCTCCTACAGGTGCGCATGCCAAATGAAGTAAAGTTGATGACTACTAAGGAGAAGGTCTCTCTAGTGGTGGTACCCTGGTTGTAAATTTTCTTACTGGAGAGATTCAGGTTGTCTACTCTGTGATCTTTTCATTGCCAGGTGAAGAGCTTTTTATTTTCTTAGGTTCTTTTGTTCTTTACCTTTAAAAGAACTTACTAGTGTGTCTTTAGACTTTTGTATCACTGCTTGCTTTTTTCTTGGTTATTGTTTTGCTTTTATTCTATTTGGAATTTATAGTATGAACAAAGGTTAAACTAGGTTATTATATTTGATGATTTCAAGCTTAGAGACATAATTGTGAGCAATCTCTATTGTAATGCAAATTTTTGGGGTGGACCTGGTTCTGAATGGAGCAGACTCAATGGCTTTATAAGAGACCTCCTCCTGAGAACAAAGCAGCCAGAACTGGTTTGCTTGCATGGGTCAACATAAGTGCCTGCATCTTTGGACCCTCCTTGGGGGCATGGCAATGGGGGATGTAATAATGAGTGTCTGCACTTTAAAATTTACCACTACAGCACTGGGTGTACAAGTATTGGGTACACTGAATCAGCAGGATATGAAGATCAGAATCCATATGGGTATAATAGAAATGGCTGTAGGTCTGATTACTCTTCCTCCAAAAAGACTATTGGGCTCAGCACAGGAAGCCTAATAACTCTGTTGCAAACCCAGCAATATTAGGTGGGGATAAAATTGTTTTCGATGCTTATGCATACTTGTGCATTGACACCATGACTTGAAGACAATTTCTAGACTTGAACAAACCTGGATTGTTACACTTGGATCTTTTGGTAAGTCCCCAGCTTAGAACTACCTGGGTAAATATTGTAATGTCAGGGAAATGCTATTTCCAGTAAGTGCTATCAGGGAAATATATTTTTATGGCCTAGATGTTGGGGATCATAGCTCTAGTTATATGCACCCAAGAGGGCTTTGGATGTCAACTTTTACAAGCAGCAGTTTGCCATATTCCATGAGGTTCCACCTCTCACCCTGGATCTTTCAAAATCTGGTGGAGATACAGTTTGTGGGACTTCTGCTGTTCTGAGCACAAACAAAACTTAGATAGGGCTACGTTCTTGACTGTGCCTAAAGTAAGTCTTTGGATCCTGACCTCTTGTTTTAAACACAGTTTAGGACTATAAATTTCTAATTTGCTGTCTCACTTTCTGAAAGTATGGTTTAGCCTTGCTGTTTTGTATATTGTATATTAAAGGGAAAGGGTACAAATTGGGCTTTAACTTGAAAAATATAGATTTTGGAAAATACTTTCTTATACTTTACATTTATAATTTCTCATATTGTATATTATTGTTCTGAGAAGGCATTTGGGAATATTCTGGTGTCTTACAGGTCAAGTGTTGGATAGCCGGAGTCGGGCTCCATGGAGTTTGTCATCTATAACTGACTTCTTCTGGGGAATAGTAGACTTTGTAGCTATGTTGTAAGTAGAGCTGTTTCCTTGATTAAAATATTGAAGTGTATAGCTTGCCCTTAGGAACAACTGAGGCCTGTCTAGCCTTATTCCAAGGTGTAAGCACAAGTACATATAAAAGGATGCAACCACAACCAGTGTGGAGCACTGGTTAGTGTTGGACTGGGGACCTGCAAAATCTGTGTTCTTGTCCCCACTCAACCACGTGCATGTGTATTTGAAGAAATATGCTTAGGTCTTCTCTGATCTCTGTCATGTGCTGAAAATGCTCCTGAAGGGAAAACATGTGTTCTGTAATGTATCAATATTCAGTAAAATGTACCTTGTAAAAATTGTACATAGTCTTGTAGATATGTTGTTTACTCCTCCATTCTGCAAATGAATGAAGAGCATATCTGAGCAGCTAGGCATTTGTGTCTTCAGGGTACAGTCTGAAAATAATTAAAGGTTTTGTGAAGGATTACATACTAATTAAAATCAGGTTTATTTTAAATGTTAGTGGATTTTCTCAACTTCCATTCAGAAAAAGTTGTACCCTTAAAAACAGACAAGTGAATATATAGCAAAGGTTTTAGAGAAACGCTATTTTAATTTATTTGAGAGTATACTAGAACTGAGCAACATGGTGGACACACTAGTATCCATCAATAACCCCAAGTGTGCTCACATTCAGCATACTTTTCCTTGCCTCTGTTAAAGTTAATGGAGCAAGATTGTTTCATTGACTTAATTTAATAGAGGAGTGGAAAATGATCCTCTGCTGAAAAATGCATGCGAGGCCTTACCACCACCATGAACCTGGTGGCAAAAAGAAAAGAAAAGGAATCTAGAAGAGGAGAAATATTTCAAATAATGTTTTGTGATGATTCTCAGTATAATTTTTCAGAATGTTAAATGTACTTGCAGGCCCCCAGAAGTTGCTTATTCCTCAAATGTATTATTCTAACTGTGCTTGAGCCTCAGTTAATAAGCTGGCACAAATGCATGAATTTTGTGCAAAATTCTAGCCATGCTGAACCACTGGATTTTACAGGATGGGGATAGCATTAAACAAACATTGTCTTTTTTTATTCTAGTTTCCAGAGCATTATTCACCCAGACTTAACAAGGAGAGGCTACACATCTTCCTCCTCTTCAAGATATGACGATGGAAGAGGGTATTTTTTTCACTTTAAATTGGATACTGCACATTGTGTGAAATGCTATTGTCTTAGTTTCAGCCATCCCAAATGATCTTTTCTAAATATTTTGGAGTTCAACTTGCATCAACTCCATTCGGAATGAGCAATGGCCAGGAGTGCTGGGAGTTTTCCAGAACATATGGAAGGCATCGGGTTGAGTGAATCTGCTTCAGATAACAGCCAGACTGTGCAGTGTGTGTTTTGCTGGAACATGTACATATAGATAAATGCTTTGTGTTACATCAGATGGAATGGAAGACCCGTAGGTCTGGATAACATGCCATGTAAAACCCTGTTTTACACATGGTGAGCAAATGGAGCTGGGTTCTCCTGTAGAACCTTCAATGTGAGTTGGGGCCTATGCATGAAAAATGCCCTAACTGCATCTCTTCTTCTCCATCAGCCCTTTTCACAGTAAGCAGAGTAAAAACCACAGGCAGAAATTTTGTTTGTGATTTGGATAGCTCAGAAAACCCAATACTAACTCCAGTGTACCAGATGCATAATCCAGATGTGTAAACCAAACCCTACTTTCTGAGGTATTGGCATCTTCCAAATTAGTTCAATGAGTGCTTTATTTCAAAACTAGCTAGCCATAATCTTCCCACTCTTTTTAAGATGCATCACATTGCAAAGTGATTCTTTTGCTTTCCAGATATGTATACTCATTGTATTAAAGGGGACCTCTGCAAATTTTCTGGAGCCAGACAGTGTAATCCTAGACACGTGTACCTGTACACCCTGCTGAGTTCAGTGGGCCTTTCTCCAAGGAAACAGAGTATGGTTTGCTGTATAAAACGGTTTCTAAGATTTTTAAAATCTTAAAAGAAGTCAGTTTCGCTAATAGCAGAATTTCAGAATTCACTTGAGAATAGATATTGTATGGAAGTCAACAGGAAACTAGAATTCTACACCTTGGGTGATGTATTTGAAGAAATTATTAGACATCTACAGTTTGCAATTGCTTATACAAAGGAACAATTCTTTCAGACTTTAAAATAATTCATTTGAGGCTAATCTGTCATTCTTTTGTTCATTAAGCAAGTTATTATTATTATTATTATTATTATTATTATTATTATTATATATTTCATTTCTAACAACCATCAGCCAAAAAAAGGTTCACTGGATGGTTTGGAAAGTTTTACAGAACAAACTGTGGTTTCCAGCAGATTCTAGCTAGCTTTATTAGATGTATCCTCTGTTCCTTTTAGGCCTCCAGGATTTCCTCGCCGTAGAATGGGTCGAATAAACCACTTTGGAGGCCCAAGTCCCCCTCCAATGGCTGGAGGTGGATGAGGAAGGTAAGCTATCATCTCATACTCCTTACATGTGCCGTCAGGATTCCTTTACTTTAGCTCAAGATAAATGATTATTCTTTTTGCAGTCTCAAGGTGAGAGGTAGATTCATAGTACTGGTAGCAATAAAAATAAACCTTCCACAATTTTAAGTAGATACAGGTCAGGTATGATGCTTTTACTTAATATATGCATTTTCTTTTTCAAAAAGAAGAATGTGTACACTATATATAATACAATTACAGATTAGTGGAAAGATTTATGAATGGAAAGCAAGCATTTTCATGTTTTACTAGTTAGCTTTGTGTTCTTCAGATCTGTAGTATCATAAGGTATCACAAAGTTACAGTCAAATAAGGTGACAGATGAGGAGCCACATTATATATAAAGAAGATATAAATTCTGTATTTTTATTACATTGTGGCTGGGCAGCTTTAAGAGATCTGGGACCATTTTCAACTCTTAGATCCCTCTCCCTCATGGGTTGTATATATAGATGCCAAAATGGGGGAGGGGAATAACAAAATAAAAAGCTGTCTTGAGTGGTTATGAAACACCAAAATCATCAAAATTAGTTTGCAAACAAGCTGATTTGACCCTTTTGGTGCTCCATTGTCACTCTTGTTTTGTTTGGCAAAAATCTTTTATTTGGATTCTGCAAACTTCAGGGAGTGATGGGACCATGATAGGTGGATACATGTTGCCCGCTTCTACTTTACATTATAGTAACATGAATGATAATAGTAGAGTTCAAAGGGCCTGTAAGGTCATCAAGTCCAACCCACTTCTCTGAGTCCACATGTCACCCCTCCAGGTACAGGTCCATGCCATTTCAGCTTAGCAAAGGCAACTTGGCATATTAGCTTGATGTATAGCTTTTTTGCTGTTTGGTTTGTACATTACTGTTACCTTAAGAGCAATATATCAGTGCTAGTATTTCTTTTCAGTGACCATAATTCTTGAGAGCTACTTAGATTTATGCAAGCCCCATGGGGCTTTTAGTATCTGCCTTTGCCAGTTGACACTTCCATGCTGTATCACAAATGACATTTAAAATTCTTGTTTCAAAGGCAATTAGATGGAATGAAGGATATGCACTGCTGTCCAAAGAAAACATGTCAAAAGACCTCACCAGCACCTAGAATTAGTTTGTTCCTTGGACCATAGCCAATGTATACAATACTAACAAAGCTCAAAAAACACTAACAGTCTCACTTTTCTGTTTAGGTAAACGCCTCCTTTAGGAGGCAGGCAACCAGACATACATATTTACAAGACTGAAAGAGCCTGCTGTGGATGAACCAGATCGGTCTGATGGTTGTAAATGTGTTGTCTAAATTATTCACTGCTCTGTGAATTAGCAGAACAATGACGTTATGCTGGGAAATCTGTTTCTAGGGTCCAGTGTAACTGACATGCAGATCTATTAAATTAAAGGCACCTGTTCCCTGTCTGTTTTAAGCCTTTTTGTATAGCTTATAAGAAATATATATGGCTTTGCAAAATAGCAACAGTGATTTTTTAAAAACTGTTTTAAAGGTTCAAACATGTACATGAAAAATTGTTTTAAAAGGGTAACCTTGAAATACATGTATCAGTCACTGTACATATTCAATAACTGCATTTTCTGTGAAATTTCTTTCATGTGCCAGTAAGGGATGTTCTGAGTTGTGCAGCTCCTAGATTAGTCATGATTTGACCCATTCCTAGTGTCACACTGGTTTTAGCTGCTTTGAAATTAATAAGAGTTCATGGTGATGTTATTGTAGTATCAGAATCATAAGGATTTTTTTACTATTGTTCCAAGTAATCGATTCCAGAGGGAGAGTTTTGTTGCAAGTCCCACCATCAAGTTTTGTGACACCTTAAAGATGAATGAATGTATTACGGTATATGCTTTCATGGACCAAACTTCCCTGTGACAGGTGCATGGAATGTTACCCTGAATTGGAAAGCATATACATGGATGCAGATAGGGAACTGAAATGCAAGAAATAAATACTGATTCTTATATTAAATCTCAAATGTAAACATAATTCAGTGACCATTCAGAAAGTCATGATGATGTCTCAGGGTTGGTGAGAGAATTCTCACCTGTACTGAGATTTAAAAAACCCCCAACAACTCTTAATTCAAGCTACCCCTAGTATATTATTTCCTAATAAATCATAATTCAGCAGTTTCATGCTGCTCTTCCTCTGAAGTACTTTTTTCAAGTATATCAATCTTAAGGGCAATGCATCGGGGGAGGTTGAAATGTTGTTGTCCTTTGTGATGCTGTCTACATATTATTTTGCCTAGAAATTGTCCTGTGCAGGACACAAGGCTTTTTGTGTGATAACAGCTGCTGTTCCTCCACCAGTCCCTTTGTTTATCCTCCCATCCTGTGTGTGGAATGGAAGCTGCACATGCTGAAACAAAGGAGAGGAGGGTCAGAGAAGCAACTTTAGTGCATAACTAATAGCATGACTCTAGCTTTTCTTTTTCTGAAGCTCTCCTGGTTCTCAAACATAAGGGCCCATTTTTGTAGGGAGAAAGCGTAGCACTGGTTCATGGCCTTCTCATATTTTTGTAAGAGAAATTGTGATTAGCCCCTTTGACCAATTCAGTGATATCCTAGTTAAAGAAATTGCCCTGTCAGAAGTATCCAGCCTCTGGGTGATGGGATCCCAAGTGGAAGGGGCCATAGTTCAATAGCCAAGCATGTGCTTTGGGTGTAGCAAGCACCAGGCTTCATATGTAACCATCTGCAGCTAGGGCTATGCATGACTTGTTTGAGAGGCTGGAGAGCTGCAGCTTGTTCACACAGAAAATACTGAAGCAGGGAAACAGCTGGTCCAAGTCGGTATAAGACATCTGATGATCCTGGTGTCCAGGGGTGGGAAATGTGTGACCCTCCAGATGTTGGTGCCCTACAAGTCCCATCAGCCCTAGTCGATAGGTATCATGAGAGTGGTGGGTCAAAAAACTCCGGAGGGCCACACGTTGTCTACTTTTGCGCTTCTCCATTTATGTGTACCTGCATACAAAAACTGGCGTGGCCGGATCAAAGGAGGTTGCTATCACCTCCTCCGCCGTATGCATTCAACCAAAGCCGCGTCTTAAAGGGGAGGAAGCGGCCGCTTCGTCTGGTAAGGCCGCCTCGATGCCGGCTCGGCAAGGAGCGGAGGCGGAGGGAGTAGTCATTGTGGGCGAGAGAGCGGCAGAGACGGCCGAGAAAAGGGGCGGTACCGGCTTCTGCCACGACCTCCCCGGGGAGGAGGAGCGGCTCCGCCTTTCCGCAGCGGAGAGAACTCGGCGGCGGCAGGAGACAAGCGGGGATGACTCAAGCGGAGAAGGGGGAGGCCGCGGCGGCGGCGGCGGAGAATGGGAAGGACAAAGAGCGCGACAAGGAGAAGGAGCAGCGCGGCGCCAAGAGGCCCATCGTCCCCGCCGCGGTGCCCGAGTCGCTGCAGGAGGTGAGGGAGCGCCGGCCCAGACGGGGAGCCTCCTCCGGCAGGGCGCCCATGCCGGGGCTCGGGTCTGTGCCCGCCCCGGGGCCCTTTCGGGTCGCTCTGATACGACGGCGAGGCTGCTGCGTCAGGCTGCGATTTCTCCGCCCGCCGCCTCGTCTTTTTAAGAAGCTGAGTGCAGAGAAAGCACTGCGCATGTGAGCGTGGCGGAAGGTTCATTGCAGGGAATGTTTCATTTTGGGGCATGCTTTCAGACGTGCAAGTGCCCTGCGTATAGCTTGAAGTGATACAATCCGTTGAGAAGTGCATCAGCAGACTCCGTGGATTGTGGGTCGTGTTATATAGCCGGATCTTGTGTGTGCTGGTTTATTTACTAGGAAGTGAACAGAGACCCGGGGTGATCGTTATCCAGACGGAAGTGCTGGGGGTTTACACACCTCTTTCTGGGAAGGCTGCGTGCCAATCTCACGGGTACTGTGAGAATGTGAGATGGAGGACGCTTATAAGGAAGGATTGATGCGTTGGAGGGAGAAGTTATCAATCCTTTCTGCACCCCCCAAGTCTCTTCCGGAATTAGCTCAGGGTTGAGAAACCCATGGATTCCACCTGATGCTAAATGGATCTTACTCTTAGATCAGTAAGCAGAAGATTGTAACTTTTATTGTTGTTGTTAGTCACTAAGTCGTGTCCAACACATTGCGACCCCATGCACAACATTCCTCCAGGCCTTCCTGCCCTCCACCATCCCCCGCAGTCCACTTAAGCTCATGCCAACTGCTTCCATGACTCCATCTAGCCACCTCATCCTCTGCCATCCCCTTCTTCTTTTGCCCTCTATTGTTCCCAGCATTAGGCTCTTCTCCAGGGAGTCCTTCCTTCTCATTAGGTGGCCAAAGTATTTGAGTTTCATCTTCAGTATCCGGCCTTCTAAAGAGCAGTCAGGGTTGATCTCCTCTAGGACTGACCGGTTTGATCGCCTTGCAGTCCAAGGAACTCGCAGGAGTCTCCTCCAGCACCACAATTCAAAGGCCTCAATTCTTCGGCGTTCAGCCTTCCTTATGGTCCAACTTTCACAGCCGTACATTGCAACTGGGAAAACCATAGCCTTGACTATACGCACTTTTGTCGGCAGGGTGATGTCTCTGCTTTTTAGTATGCTGCCTAGATTTGCCATAGCTTTCCTCCCCAGAAGCAAGTGTTGTTTAATTTCTTGGCTGCAGCCCCTGTCTGCGGTGATCTTGGAGCCCAGGAAAATAAAATCTGTCACTACCACCATTTCTTCCCCATCTATTTGTCAGGAAGTGAGAGGACCAGATGCCATGATGTTAGTTTTCTTAAAGTTGAGTTTCAAGCCAACTTTTGTGCTCTCCTCCTTCACCCGCATCAAGAGGCTCTTTAGTTCCTCTTCAACTTTCTGCCATTAGAGTGGTATCATCTGCATATCTGAGGTTGTTGATATTTCTCCCAGCAATCTTAATTCCAACTGATGATTCATCCAGCCCACCTTTCTCATGATGTGCTCTGCATATAAGTTAAATAGGCATGATGGACCTTATG